ACAGTGTGGAGGTATTACAGTGTAGAGGTATTACAGTGTAGAGGTATCCAGTGTGGAGGTATTCCAGTGTAGAGGTATTCAGTGTGGAGGTATTCCATTGTGGAGGTATTACAGTGTAGAGGTATTCCAGTGTAGAGGTATTCCAGTGTGGAGGTATTACAGTGTGGAGGTATTACAGTGTGGAGGTATTCCAGTGTAGAGGTATTCCAGTGTGGAGGTATTCCATTGTGGAGGTATTACAGTGTAGAGGTATTCCAGTGTAGAGGTATTCCAGTGTGGAGGTATTACAGTGTGGAGGTATTCCAGTGTAGAGGTATTCCAGTGTGGAGGTATTCCATTGTGGAGGTATTACAGTGTAGAGGTATTCCAGTGTAGAGGTATTCCAGTGTAGAGGTATTCCAGTGTAGAGGTATTCCAGTGTAGAGGTATTCCAGTGTAGAGGTATTCCAGTGTAGAGGTATTCCAGTGTAGAGGTATTCCAGTGTGGAGGTATTCCAGTGTAGAGGTATTCCAGTGTAGAGGTATTACAGTGTGGAGGTATTCCAGTGTGGAGGTATTCCAGTGTGGAGGTATTCCAGTGTGGAGGTATTACAGTGTAGAGGTATTCCAGTGTGGAGGTATTCCAGTGTGGAGGTATTCCATTGTGAAAATATTTCAGTGTGAAATAATTACAATGAAACTGAATTGTCGTTAGCATGTGCACTTACAGCATGACCTTTAAGAATGTTCGACTGAATAGAAAATCGATCAAGTGTGTCGTGACCTGTAGTTTACCTGTGTAACATTAGCGTACAATGAAACGTCCTAAATTTGACTATATATAACATTGAAGTAAGTATTTTTAATACTTAGTAAATATTATTGAATTTTGATTTTAAATAATTATCAAACACTACGATTAATTCATACCATTTCCTATAAATTATGTTTATTCGCTTTGGCAATTTTCTTTATTTTTTAATTTTCTCATTTTGACTAAGCCGTTGTTCGCCTCTATCCGAAAAAATAGACGGCCGCATTTACTTGTAGGCTCAGTCGTGGTTGAAGTTGATTTTTGCAAAGCACATGACCGACCAGCACTTGGGCGGCAGTTCGGTCTTTGTGGCGGCGGCACATGGGGGGGGGGGGCGTCGCCCCTTCAAAATCAAGCTGAAACCTATTGTATCACCACATTTTGCCATCGTAATGCAGGAAATAGCGTTCCAGAAGATGTATATTTCAAAATGTTTAAGGTGGAGCATCACCCGGACACCCTAGTAAGGTCGCGCCTTCGTCGCAAGCTTGTTGAGCAGGAACCCTCCCCCTGCACAATTTCTCACTTCATTTACCGTAGTTGTGTTATCACATAAATGCAAGGTAGGTATTCACATTATTAGTTGTTATTTTATAATTAAACTATACTATTCACTGCCACTCGAAAAGAAATGGGCAACTGGATCGCGTCGGAAAGACTGCCTTTTATTTGAACGCTGATCGTGTTTTTTTGTGTGCCAGTGTTCTTCTATTCACTACCCGTGTTTCATTTAAACAGAACATGGTATATATTTCCGTTACCACTTAAATGTAATTGCCTTCTGATCTGACAGACCAAGCGTTCTCGTTATCGTAAAAAAACAGATAATTTTCCACGGACTACCTCTGTCACTGCACTATACAGTTCAAGTGTACCTAAACTGACATTGTTTTGTGTGACATTCGAAGGTCATAGTTTTTTTTCTTTCTGAAAGGCACGTATGCATCTATGACGTGAAAAGGAGACATTGTTTGTTGCCTGTGGATTTACTGTGATGATGTGTTCTCTACAAGAACGCTTACACACATTTCACAGCGATTGAAAACAAATAATAGACTATGTACTTGACATTTATGACAGTGGATGATGAATAAACGTCTTTATCATAACTTTGAACTTACCCGATTTAGAGTAGGTACAAATCCACACATCGTCCGGTCTCACTTCAAAGCTTTGCATTGCTTCCAAACTTGTCCGTGGAACATACCACGGAAATTTAACACCATCGTACACGTGAGTGTCTGTCCTCCGGGAACCGTCTTCATTGAAAGGATTCATATTAGCACGTGACGGATACATATGCGTTGACGTACGGGGTTAGTAATCACAGGACTTGTCTGTAGACAGTGCTATGAATAATATTGGAGACTATGAGGGCGCTGTGAAATGTTCTCACTGCAAGCACTATCAAGCGTTTATGAGATACATTTTGAATGCGTTGAACAGGTTACAGGTAACTTTTACTCAAGTCAATTTTTATGTAAACATTGACGTCAGTTTAGTTTATTAGTTTGGAGAATGGGGTCAAAGTTCAACATTCAACACAGTATTCAATGTGCTTCATTTTCAAAGTTGAAAACAACGCTTCAAGAATATGCCAAGACATGTATTTGTGTTTTGCTAAGAATTCACTGCATAACTATACATTCAATATGAAAATATCCCCGAAACTGAAACAAAATATCAATATTTGTGACTAACATTTAGATTTCCATAGACTAATCAGATTTCCATAGACGATAATGTTTGGGTGAATTTCAGGTTACAAAGATCAAAATATTATTTTAATTTGCCGAAAAAATATGTATTCTCGCCAGTTTTGTAATGTTAATCGACAGTTTCACAAGTCACCGATGTTTATCAACAACAGGCTGCAAACGCAAGTCTAAAAATTGACAGAATTGATGTACGCCCTCCTACGTCGAGTGTCGTAGGGGACAAATCGTGGGGAACAGTCGACAAGAGGTGACAGGGTATGGTATTATGATGAAATTGTTTTCGCGTAATGTTAATCGACTTAATTAGCTGATTATTAGCGAATGGCTGTGTTATGTCTGTCATCGTTTAGGCAGGCGAGGTCCTGGACGGAACTCGACTCAGTGATTTGGAACTAATTACGAGATAACCGTCGCTATTCGGACTACTATTTCTGACAGTTAGTATTCTCAGTTATTAATGTAGTGAACGATTGATCAAAAGATATGACGTATTCAGTACTTAGTGTGATTGGCTTTATGATTGAAGGTTACGCCCTAGAGTCTTTTTTCTACTTTGTAATTGGTTAGTGTTTTGAAAATGAATAAAGTTGTTTTGAGTTGGTCTTGGCGAGTACAGCACGACAGACGCAGTCCAGTCCTGGAGAGTCTTGGGGCGAGCCTTGAAGCAGTCCAGTCTTGGGCTAGTCTTGGGGATTTTCCCCAGGGCTCTGTGTCTTATAGAGTGCTCGACTGATCGACTAAGACGAGAGATGAAACGTATTTCGTTGTGTGTGTCTTATTTGACTGTAAAGTTTAACGACTTCCCCGATCGCGTACCTCAAGAGGACGCGATAGAGAGACAAGACGAGATTCCCCCTTACACGTGTGGAGAACCCCAGAGAAAAGAATCCCCCCTGATAATATCATGAGCCGGCCGTTATACATCCTTATACAATGAACAGTTCAGTGTACATGCGATTAACTCAGAAATTCAATAGACTTTAATATTTGTTTCGTAGTCAATGTTTCTTGTTTTTCTTGGCGTCGATATCTAATACATGTAACACATACAATGAGTACGTGTGTCACCCTTACCGTCCTGTATTCAATTTCAGTACCCCGTTGTAACTGTTATGAGAATGTATTGCTGCTGCCAAATTGTTAACGATGCACTGGAAATCAGGAAATCGCCAACACGTCTAAATAAAAATAAAGGAGCTTATCTGTGATGTCTCTTATTCTCATGGAAAAACAGGTACAATATTCAAATTGTTCAGATCATGATAAAATAAGTCGTGACTTGAGTTATCTTAAACAAATAAAGGCAGCTAAAAATAAAACTCTTCAGTTTTCGATTGAAATGTGTTAACATACGCTCAGAATTGTATCCGCCAACATTCAGAGGCGATGATGAGTATAATGAAAGGATACGTGGTGTATTGTGTTACTACACTCGAGTAAAACAGTATTTCTAACTCCGTTGCTCAGGATGTATTAACTGTTCCGTATTCGACGGTGAGCACATCTCTCTGTCTTGCATACGATTATTCCACGCCACCAACGGCGAGTAATTGTCACTCGATCGGGTACAAAGTACTGCATGGTTGAGAGACGTTGATTCCACAGACTATTTGATGAGATACGTACCGCCACGACATACAAAACGCATAATATAGCAATGACGGACTCCGCTGCTATAATTGTCTTAACTGTTCTAATTTTGGTGAGTATCACTTTTAACGATACTGGCAGACTTGTTTCCCGTACAATATTTGTCCACATACATATTGTCTATTGACAACCACGTCCCTGGCTATATCGACTGAGCCTAAAACCACTGAGGGTAAAATAATAATCGTAATATAAAACGATTACTACACAGTGTTATTGAGTCACGAATTCTTCTCAACGTTGTGTATGAACACAGTTTAATCACACGCGGAAATAAATCGTAGTTATATATAGATGATAATGTTATTTAGTTTTGGTTAAATATTAGCGATCCATATCTATCATCGCTATATCCAATTGTTTATGGTGTGTGCACTATTGTCTTCGTGAGTTCACTGGGTTTTGTTGTGCCAGTGTTCTCTTCACTACCGCCATACGTGCCAACTTTATTACGGCATCTGTAAGACTGCATGACAACACGTCATACGT